CTAAGCACAGACATATTAAAGGGAACAAGACCATAATGGCAATAAAGACCTCAAAACAAACCAATATAAAATGGGCAAAATATTTGAGCAAATCTTTGCCAAAGCAGATAGAGACAAATATGCACATGATAAAAAATAATGATCAACATCATTAGTCACAGGAATGCAAATTAAAACCACATTAAGATGCCACTGAATATTTACTAGTATATCTAAAATTGAAAAGTCTGATCACACCAAATGTTGGAGAGGATGTAATGAAACTGGAATTCTCACATAACAATCAGCTCAGAAAACAAATGGTAGTTTCTAAAACAATTTAACACTCACCTATTATTTCAAGCCACCATTGGGCCAGAAGAAAAGAGAGCACATGTCCATACACAGACTTATACATGAATTTTTAGAGCATCTTTATTTGTGAGATCCCAAAACTACAAATAGTCTGTATATCCATCAACAGGTAAATGGATAATAAAATCATGGTATACCCTTGTACTAGAATATACTCAACAATAAAGGAATGCATTACAGATTCATATAAAAATATAGATGACTTTCCAAGCAAGTACATTGATTATTGTGTCTAGAAGAAATAAAGCTATATTTACTCCCCCATACAAAAAAGCAGGCTTGATTTTGTTTGCTGTAATAGAAGAACTGTCTAAGATCAGTATTCCTCAACTGCATTGCAGCCCACAGTGTGTCTATCTAGGCCCCTCCACATTGTTATGATGAGGTTTTGAGTAGTCATAGTGGAAGAGAGAAAAGATATATAGGAACCAGGAAAAATGATGTCCCACTCACTAGGGGATGATGTAATCATTCCCATTGCTGAATACTCAGTTTGTTGGCCAATATGCCTACTACACTCATTGTTCCTTGGTATGACAACAACTTCTTACTGTGTCTCCAATTATTCTGCCTGAGGGCTTTCCCTCTATGTTTTGCACGCCTGACCCACACATTGGGCAGGACAGGATGGCTGGAGAATAAACCTCCAACAACAGAAGGGTCCCTTGAAAGGTGGGCAGAAAAAAGTTTATCTTCTTACTGGCCCCTTGAATATGACACATTTATTCCACCTGGTTTCCCAGAAGTGCTTACAGCACTGAGAAGCAACAACCTATAGCAATAACCTTCTAATTCATTAAACTTATACTTTCTTCCTTCCCCACACTGTCTTTTCAAGAGGAATGTAAAAGTTTGCATGAATGAGGTTGAATTGGATGATTTCTGTTTCATTCTATTTTAAAGTTCTGTAGTTTGAAGATCAAATCTAAGACTCAATCCCTAAGGGTTTTTTCCCCTCATGAGTCCCATATCAAATTCAGCACTCTTAGTTCTCCTGCTTTCTCAGTACTGGAAGTATGGATCACTTTAATGCAGACTTTATTTTGCTTTCCAGCTGCTTTAGAAGGGTCAGTCTGGTCTTCCCAGCTAGACACTTTCTCAAGTCATATCATCTAAAAGTAGTGAGGTCCCTCAAAGCAATAATAATAACCTCACCCAAGTACTCACCACAATCCCATGAAGTAGGTTCTATTATTATTGTTCTTATTCTGTAGAAGTGTGAACTAAGACTCAGGGATATTAAGTCATTTCCCCAAGGGCACTCTGCTAGTAAGTGGAAGCATCAGGCTTTGAACTTAGACACTCTGTCTTCTTAACCATTATCCTCTACTACTTCCCAAGAACTATTTTTAATCACATTTCTCCTTCATGAAAACCCTATTTTGAAACACTTATCTGAATAAACTAATTAGCTACAAATTACCTGATTTTATTAGGCAATAATATATTTATTTTCTTATATTTTGTACTAACCAAAGACATATAGAATTTCTAAACATGAAGCTGAACTAACTAGTGTGAGAGCTAGAATGCCATCTCTATGAAAGCTAGTTGTTGAATGAATGGATGGATGGATAAAAATGCTTATCTTATATGATTTCTGCCAAAATTAAACACTTGGTATTTAAGTTAGTTTGGAGGTAGGTAGTGTTTTGTTAGGCTATTCAAAAAAATCAAATACCAAAAATGTGAACCTTGTTTTCTTGTCACCTTCTGGACCCTAAGTAGTCTAAGGATCCCAAACAGTAACTGCTGGCCTTTTTTTGTGTATATGTGGGGGAGGAGGGTAGTTTGGGTGAAGGAGTTGTTTTGTGTTGTGTTGTTTGTATCTTTTGTTCTAGTGAAGAGCCTCAAGAATAGACTCTCTGGAATACTTAATTTTTAATTCACTTTTTTCTAAGGTCTGATTTCTCTCCTGAGAATACTGGTCTTTCAGTGACATCTTTCAATAATGTTTCAACTCAGTATTCCTTTAGAACTGGTATGGTTTTCATAATTTGTGGTATCGTCCTGATGTGACTCTTCAGGAGGTAATCTGAAGACCATGCTTAGGAAACTGGTCTACTCCAAAGAATTCTCTGTAACTACAAGCGTTATAGCTCAGCTAAGGGTACTGCAGGGCAATTTAGTTTAGCATGACTTTGACTCATCTATTTCTTTGTCTGTCTTCCCCAACAACTGAAAATTTGTTGTGGTTATCAGAGGTGCTGGTCAAATGTTCAGGACCCTGGGTATCACCATTTCTTCTATCCATCCTCTGTAAATATGGCCATAACCTCCGTGGATATGGCCAACAGTATCCCAAATAGCAGTTTGGATAGACCTTAGAAGTCATTCAAGAAATGCTGATAAAAAGAAGGAAGAGAAATAAGAAAAGGGGCAGAAAGGAGGATTAGAGGGGAAACAACCAACCTTTTTACATTTGAGATGCTATAAAATTAACAATCGCATTTCATTAGTTGGAGATCACATCTACATATAGAAAACATTTTGATTGTTTTGACTTTGAGGAAAGACCTCCAATCTGTAGTGACTGAGCTTCTAAGCAAGTGTCCTGCATGAGATGTTGAAAATAAATAAATAAATAGGCAATGACTAATGCTCATACATAATTCATGTTCTCTTCTGGGATACAAAGTTGATATCCATGGAACAAACAGAAAACAAATACGCAGTTACTATAGGATATCATTCAGGGATTGGATGCAAAGGATTTCTACCTGTCAAACAGACCAGAAATTAACTGAGGAAAAAGAGTTAGATTGGAGGGCTGGGGCTGGAGCTATAGTTCAGTGACAGAACACTTGCCTAGCATGTGAGAGGCACTGAGTTTGATCCTTAGCACTGTATAAACATAAACAAAATAAAGGCTTTCTGTCCATCTATAACTACAAAATTTTTTTAAAGAGTTAGAGCACGTGTGCTCCCTATATGTGAAGCACTTTTTGTATGTTCTTTTACCAACTATTCATAACTACTTGATAAATAATTACTATTATTGCCTCCATATGGAAAAAAAAAAGTTTTAATTATACAACATGCTGATTCATACAGCCAGGATGACAATAGTGTTATAAATGTCTGATTCCAGAATTTATGCCTGTTCACTCATTGCATAAGTTCCTGAAGAACAGAAAAAACATGAAGAGATGGAGAAGAGGGGAGAAGCCATCATCAACGGGAAAGCAAAAACCTGAACTGAAATGGTGACAGGAAGATGCACAGCAGACTCAACACCAAGAAGGATGTGATTGGGAGGGAGCTTGGACAAGCTGGGTTTGGGAGTCAGTCTGGAATATAAATTATAACTCTGTAACTTACTGACAGCCCAAGAGAAAAGGCAAGTTTCCTAGTCTCTGTTTCTTTCTTCCACAAAATGGGATAACTGCTTCTAAGATTCGTTGTGAGATTTCAGTGGGATTTTTTTTTTTTTTTCCAAGAGCATCTGTCGTAAATTTTTTGTTTCTCTTTTCCTGATTGGAACAGAGCATTACTTACTGGTGGTGGGAAATAGTGGGTGGTTGTTGGTCACAAGCACCTGGTCTAATCCATCAGTCAAAACAACCACCTGCACAAGCAGGGCTGTACATTATTCATTGGGTTCTGACCGACTCATTGGTGGTTTTATTTTGACAAGCTCAGAGTCAGTCCGGTTTGTGCAGCTCTAGGAAACAAGCTGAGTTTGGCCTGTGCATTTTGGCATCACAGACGACAGGACTGTGGTGGGGGGAGGGGGAGAGGAAGGTAGCGAGGATGGAAAAGTACCAGGCAGTAACTCTTGAATCCAACTTCCTGCTGGCAAAATCCACCTCTTGCTGACTCTGAGTCACCAGCAGCATGCCTTCCCTCCCCTGCGGCCCATCCGCCCATTAGGCCGGCAGCTCTCCTCCTATTCTGACTTCCCTTGCTTGCTCCCACACGTGTGCTCAAGGTGGAGGCAACCCTCATCAGAGAACACGAGGCAGCTGTAGCAGGATTTTCTAGCTCAGCCATTAGAAGGAGGCCTGCAGCAGCCTCACCTGCAGAGTCTATGCAGCCCACCATCTTGCAGGTCACCCCTCAATGCCAGGTGGCCTCACTCCTGTGCCCTGAAGCTCTCCCATAGGTTAAGAAGCATATGAACTGGGCTTCTAGAACCCACAGCACCAGATCTGCTTCCTGGTGATGAAGGATCCCCCGAAACTTGCTCTTGGGATTTGTCCTATGTGTTGATGCAGTGGGAGACCTGAATGAAGCGTGATCGAATGAGCATCAGGGAGATATTCACTGCAAATTCTTATAGAAGTTAGTGTTACTCAACCTGATATGAAGGTTCTCAATAACTTAGTCCTTAAGTCTGTTTTCCGTAATGATCCTCCATTCCATCCCAGTATTTGTTGTGAACTTGACTGATCAATCATAAGACTGGGGCTGCTGTTGTGGCTCAGGGGTAGAGAGCTTACCTAGCACCTGTGAGGCACCGGGTTCAATCCTCAGCCCCACACAAAAATAAATAAATAAAATGAAGGTCAAATGTTTTTAAAAACTAAAAATGTTTTTTAAAAGAATTAAAAAGTCCTAAGACTGCCCGGGAACACTTGGTAACAACACAGAATTCAAGATTCTGAGTCCATAGATTGAGTTGGGCTCAAAGACTCAGGAAATACCTTAGGTGATTCTACTGATGGAACAATGGATAGTAGTGTAGGCAGTACCAGACTGGTGGTTTTCTGTTTTCTAGATGGCAGTCCACTTGAGATATCTCAGTGGTTCCTTTAAAGCAAAGAAGTAGGTACAGCAAGGGAAACTCAGAATGTCAAGAACTCCCCATTGTGGGTTGAACTGTGCACCACCTCAAAAAAGATATGTAGAATTCTAATTCCAGATTCCTATGAATGTGTCATTACGTGGCAACTGGATCTTTGTAGAACTAATTTTTAAGATGAGGCTAACGTGGAACAAGGTGGGCCTTAGATCTAATGACTGGTGTGCCAATGAGGAGGAAATAAGGATTTGGATGCAGAAACGCAGAAACAAATAAGAAGGCCATGTGCAAAAATGAGCAGAGTCTGGAGTCTTGCTGTCACTAGCCAAGACAAGGAGTACCAAGAATTGCTGGCAGCCACCAGAAACTAGAGGAGGCAAAAAGGATGAGAAGGATTCTTTCCTGGAATTTGGCCCTGACAATGCCTTGATTTCATACTTCAAGCCTCCAGAACTATGAAAGGGTAAATATCTGTTGTTGTAAACCACCAGTGTTGAAGCCATTTGTTATAGCATTCCTGGGATACTATTATACTCCCTCTGGCTGGGTTTCTCTCTCCTCTCTCTCTCTCTCTCTCTCTCTCTCTCTCTCTCTCTCTC